TCTTTGCGGTCCTAATGAAATAAAGTTAGTGGGCATTTACTGACCTCAGGTGTTTTTGAGGCTACGATGAGCACGCTTACATGCTCTAGGGAGAGGTGAGATCAGTGGTATTTCATCTTATCCTTAAAAAACGCCGAATTGGGACAACATTTTTCAGATTGCATCGACATCTGGTCTACTTGGTGGGATTTATATTAACCCGACAATATAGCCAGTGAAAGGTTTTCTATGAGCTCCATTCCAACGTTTCTGGCCTTTGATTGGTTACTTTTTGAACTTATTTCAACCAATAAGCTCATTTTCATCGCCATTCGTCAATTTTGATTTGTAAGAATTTTTTGATGTGGGGACCAGGTTTATCAATAAAGCAAAGCTAGCCGGTGAGTGTATGATCATAAGCGCATTGAAGGCTTCACATTCATTGGACGTCACTCGGCAACCAATTCTGTTGCAGATTGTCTAGATAGGCAACAATACTTCTTAACTTAAACTCATCAATGTTTCAAGTTTGGAAAAAAATAGGAATGGTTTCCTGGTCAGAACGGTGCGGATGAAGACAGACTGAAAGGATTGCAGCCCCTCACACTCATGCGGTATTCTGAGACCGATTCCCTGTCAGACGTTCGAAGCTTGCAAAAGGAATTCGAGTATTTAGGACACGCTCTGTCGCCGTAATCAGTGGATGGAAAATAAACTAAGAGATTATTAAATTTTTTTAAGTTAGCATTTGGTTCTATCAGGGTGAGAAGTAAATAGACCACCAACTGGGAAGGCCATGTCTCTAAGATGCTCTGAAAAGAAACACAGATCGGTGCGTGGTTCTGATTGGTCAGAATCACAGCCAATCAACGGAGTCTCTATTCAATTGACACTATTCATGTGTCTGATGATGCTTAATTTGGTGAATTAAGAGGAATTTCTGTTATTACTCTTTGAAAAAAATTAACCGCTAAGCTTAGCAAACGAGGACTCTACTCATCGCCATTGGTAGGGAAAATTGCGTTCTCTGGGCAGTACTACTAGCATGGACCATTGCATTTTTTTTCAGTAGTATTACCCTTTTGCCATTTCACGTTAACGCCAAGCCAGACGTGTAAAAAAGGCTAGTTTTTTGTGCATTTATCTATTTTAATTGGACAAACTAACGCTTAATTTTCACAGTTCAAGGTGGTCATTAGTTAACAGTAGAGAGTGAGGCTTAAGTAGGACGCCGAGGAGTTGAGTTTGTCTCCACAGGTGGGCGTCAGGGTGGCTGGTCAACAAAATGTCACAAGACAAAATCTACTTGGAAGAGGTGTCTCGGAAACAGGATGGAATTTGACGTCAGTGCACGTAGCACTAAAAATCCAGAAATATTTTTAAAAGTGTCTGTTGCTGTTACTTATAGGCATCTTTACAGTATATTTGTTTAAATTTTCATTTTTGGCGGGTAGTTTTTAGGTTTTGTTTCATGTGTAAAATAAATGTGTTTTTATATAGAGGCCCACGTGGCATTGACGCTGGTCTCAGCAAGCGGTGAGAAGATCACGAGTAGCCACACACACGACGTCAAACTGTCAACTAACACGGAATTCGGGGAACGCTTCGCCTTCGACATGTCCTCGCTAAATCCACGCGAGGTCACGCTGTTTGTGCGCGTCTTCCAAAAGCACCACGTTCACAAGAACGAGTGCCTCGGCTGGTTCGCTATTGGTATGCCACCCTACTTATTACTTATAAGTAACACATTTAATCAGCTGGTGCGTATTGAACCCCTGTTTTTTGCTTCGAGGATCCAAGAATACTGGTGAGGAGGAGCGCTCGCACTGGAATGAGATGCTTCAGGCCCAGGGCCAGGAAATAACTCGGTGGCACGTACTCAATGAGAATCTCACTTGAGTCCTCGCATCTGCCAGAAAACAAGCTACTTTTCTACACTTAAGTACTACTGGATAACTGACCGATATTTTCTTTTGCAATTACTCTAACTGAAGTAATTTCTTATTAGAATATTCTCTTTCAGTACCCTTGTTAAAACTGCGACGAGCCTTAATTGGAAGTGCCTTCGATGGGTGTTGAAGTAAGAAATGGTGGTAAATAAGTTATGCGACGTTAATACAAAATCGAATGATTGAACGAAGTGAGCGCTCGATAACTTCCTTGAGAACGTGGCCATCTTAGAAGCGACGGTGCCTGTGACATCTAAGTTGCATAAACTTAGTTTTCAACTCAAAGTAGTTCTGGCTGTCAGTTTTATTAAAACGCATGAATCCGACCAATGAAGTGCCGTCCTTCACAATCCTGCTCAAGGTCGTTTCTAAAAGCTCTCTCTCGTCAAGCTAATTTTGCCTTTAACACAACAAATGCATGTCGAAGTCAGGGAGACCCAATGTTGTCCAGATTTTGACACAAAAATTGGTTTTGCATCTCTGTCTGTAAACAATATCTGCGCTGTTTCAAATCAATTTAAAGCAGCTTGAGCAGAAATTGTCAAGTGAAATCGATTTATGCCGTTTTGTTACCACACATTACCCAGAATTTCCCCCAAAGATATCTTTTCAACAGACCATCGAAGAATCAAACAGAAACATCACAAGCAGATGTGCTGTATCAGATGCATTTTCAACTACCAATAGGATCACGCGAAATTCTGCAGTAGCGTTAATTTTAGCATCGGATCCATCATGAAGGTTGAGTTACTAAAACAAACTAGTTTGGTGCGTAAATACCAACAGATATTCCGAACAACCTCGGGCATGGCCAGAATTTAATTAATCCGAGTTAGATAAATCAATAGGTTCAATCGTTTCCCGGTTTTATCCTTACACGCCGTGTGTCCAACATGTGCTAAACTTACCAGAAGGTGCTTGTGCGCACCGCTTCGAAAACAACTCCAAAATGGGTGGCTTGACTTGATCCTGATCTGACCCACACCTGAACCGACTGCGCACGTCTTAACGAAGAGGCATATGCCACTAAAAGTGCCAGATTCAAATTGAATTGAGAGCGAATTGTATCTTGCATTGTATTTTAGTTCTCAAATACAATGATTCTTCCACAGGCATGTAAAAGCAATCCATTACATCAACTCAATTCCACCGAAGTTTTGAGCAAAGCGAAGAAAAGCAAGTCGCGAAAGAAAATGAAGGTTAAAGTAAGGTACACGCAGGGAGTGGAGTAGGCCAACGACACTACCTCCTGTCGGTGTCTTCTGAGTCGGAGGTTTCTTCGCTGTCGTCTGACTCGCTCTCCGACTCTGCTGGGCGTCTGGAGAGGGCTTCAACGAGTGGCGCGACGTATGGGGAGTGTTTGGGTGGTCCGGGGTCAGGCGGGAAGGCAAGACGCCATCTGTGGTCGCGACGCAGTGTGTGGATCTCGTCGCGAACCTGACACGCCGAGCAAAGACAGCAGGTGAGGGTGCAGCACACGTCGACGCAGATGTTGCCCTGTAGTAAAAAACACGCATACGCCAACTGTTTCAGAGCTCTTGAAATGTCGTCAAATGGTTCTGGCGGCTTGATATTGAAACAAAATTCGCTTAGCACAAAGAACCATTGCTTTTCAGGGCAAATGATTCATCTACCTCAACGCCAATCAAGACATACTACATCGAGAAAGTGATGAGACTGTAAATAACCACTTTGGAATCTTCTATTTACCGAGCTTTACTGTACCATGTCTCACACGTAGTAACTCCTGCAACATTATAAGAAATTGGCAGAGCACCTTAACTAGAGAACTTCACTGATTATGATAATAAACTCAAATCGCGCTCCGTTCTGTTTTATGCCGATAGCCAGACATTTTGCAAAAGGTGATTGGTCAACACAGAAGCATCTGTTTAAATGATGCTCACGCTGCCCTGACAAAATTACTATCATGCAAATAAATTATAACGTCTCCCAACTATCGGACCGTGTAATGTTATAGTGCTAAGCATAATGTCACGGCGTTGGTGCGGAGCCAAGTTACCAGACGTTTGCGAGCAACTAAAATAGTTGTTGAATCGGCTGATATTATTGAGTTAACCGAGACTTCGCAAAAATTGATTGGTCAAGGTGTAAGCATTTAACTGGATAATGTTCACGCTACATTGCCGAAATTACCATCATGTCAACCAATTAAAATGGATCCCAACTTTCGGACTGTGTAGTGCTGTAATGCCAGGCCTACTATTACAGCGTTGGTGCGCAGCCAAATTACCTGAAGTTTGTGAGCCACTCGAATTTGTCGACGTGCCGCCGTGATGACCAATGGGGAGAGCGGAGTGAGGAGAAGGCCCAATCCGAATGATTTGAGCCATTCCATACCAAACACGTAATGCAACAACTCCCAAATGAAGCAGGGGTGACACGTCGGAACGCACAAACAGTTCACTAAAGTTGAGCATGGCTTACATTAGTCCGGATGGCAATAACGCGCCACACGCAGCGTAATGAGACCTCACACTTACTACAGTTCTCTTGGCAACTGCACATATACGTACTCCACGGCCGGTAGTCGCCATATCCTGAGGATTCGTCGTCGTCTTCGTCGTCATCATCACCATCTTCATGCCTTGGCATTGCGTTGACCCCAAGGCTTTTCAAGAGTTATAGTAGGTGATGGTTTTATGAACACTAATGGGGGCCGTTAAAATTCGCCAGTTAGTCACGTGACCAACCACGTGCATTATCGATTTTGTGTCATGAATGCAGCTACAGGAAACCAGATATATCTTGCAGAATTGCACCCTTCCAATGCAAACAAGAGCAGTCGTTAATATCGGGATATTGAAAAGCATTTGGATTGACAACAGTAAACGGAAACCCGGTTAAAGATCAGAAAGACGCGGAGGAATGCATATCCAGAGAAGAAGGAAAGCTTCTATTCAAAGGCTTCGGAGTTGCTTCATCAAATCTCCAAGACTTGGGCCGTCGGCATCAACAGCGACGGAGGTTCCAGACTCGGATTTCGCGTCTGCATTTGCCAGTTGTTCCACGCCACCTTCGGCAGCTGTCGCACAGTCACCGTCGCCGTCGGCGGACGAGGAAACGAGTTCAATGTGAAATTCGTTGTCCTCGTGGAGAGGCTTGGAGGCCTCTTCGCGTTCCAGACGGGCACGTTCGGCTCTAGCGGCCATCTTGGCTTCTGCGTCCCAGTCGGCGTCCGCCGGAAGACCACGACGAACTAGTTGAGCGCGACGCTCGGCTTGGCGTTTGCGACACCACGAGTCAGCACACGTCGGATTAGGACGCAGATTGACGCGGTAAACGGAGTCCTTCGATGCACCGTAGCCAAAATAACTCGAAACCTTAAATATATCGAAACTAGGTAACCACAAGCACCTATGCGATGCAGTAGGTCGAAAACACACTAACGCTGAATCTTACCTCACCAAAATGCAGGAGGTATTTGAGCACATTTTGCACCATCAGGCCGGCAACGATGGCCATCGTAGTGGGAAGGGACGCCGCACACACGCCATCGCGCTTGAGCACCTTGGTGTCGTTTAGACCGGCGGCCACAACCAACGGAGGCATGCACTCAAAACACGGCGTCCGACCGGGATACATCAGCTGGAAGTGGCAGCTCAAGGCGTCCTCGCTGACACCCGCTTCAAACCAAACCTTAAAAATATGCCACTGAGTATATATGTGTGTGAAATGATTCATTTGTTGAACGAGCCCGTCGAGAGATCGAAGCAATGCAGAACCAGACCTGGCACTTATGGTAAATTCCGACAGATTCAATGTATTAGTTTTGGGTATTCTTGTTAAACCATGTAACTTCTACGCAACTCACAAATCAATAAAAGGAAACTACAGGCGGACCTGATTAATCTCATTGCACGCTCTGTTGATGGTCATTCGTGCCTCAAAGTTGTCCACACAGGAGAGGACCAGATCAACGGGTTTGGTCCCGTCTCCGCGAAGCGATGCCAAAAAGGAGTCGAAGTTGTCCACAAGGGTGATGTCGTAGTTGTGCGCGTCGATGGAGACGTCGGGGTTGATGGCGTGTAGGGTTGCTGCCGCGGCCTGAACTTTGCTTAATCCAGCTTGGTGGGGCTAGCACAAATGTGATCGTACATTAAATGACGTCAGAAATCGTTGTCTCATGCTTGGTTCGTGAATTTGAGGTACTGATTCAATTCATGTTATTTGTGGTCGTGTTCCAAAAAAAACCGCTTACAAGGATTGAAGCGTTGCAGTCAAAGGAACATCCCAAACAGATGTCTTTACACAGGCATGTAAATTTTACAAAATAAGAAGGGGTTTTAAAAGAAGATAATTATACCTGGAAGAAAAGTCGATTCATATTGGCTAGTTCCACTTTGTCGTAGTCAAAGAGAAGGAGACGACCGATGCCACATCGAACAAGCATTTCGGCCGCCACGGAACCAACTCCTCCCACCCCGACAATCGCGACAGACTTTTCTCGAATTCTAAAAGGGAAAAAATAGCTCGGAAATGGGATTTAGCAATTTGCTACAGAGGTTATTGATTACTACAATGTATGGTAAAAAGTATGTTCCAGAGAACAATGTAAGAATTGAGCAGGTTCATTTGCAATTTATTTAGAAGCGGAGTGCAAAGACAAATAAATTGGGGGGGGGGGAGGTGGGTGGAAAGAAATGAATCAAAATTCTGGTGGGTGAAAGCTGAACAATGGTGCTCTGTCCACTTACTGTGCATAATTTTCTACAATGCCCATCTTTTGTAGTGCCATTAGACGACTGTACGGGTTCGAGCTGACGACTTCACTGGACATCTGCTCAATTTTTTGGCGAACCGGGCGCGCATTAGACAGCTCAGATTCCAGTTGGGCTATTTTGGCCTTAAGAGCAGCCACGGTTTCTTTGTCTTGCATTTTTTCTCTATAGCAAAACACAAACACAAATTTTTAGTACCAAAATAGAGTAACAATAGCTTACGGCGGTAACAAAACAATGAGTGTAGTAAAAACAATCAAGGGAAAGTGCCATAATCAAGCCATAACAAGACGCTAAATGTTCAAAAATACACTGGCGGGCCAAAATGTAGAAACCCACGGTCAGAGGTAGTCCATAGAAGAGCAAAACATAAACAATAAGCAACCATAGTTCCTTAAGTGGTTTTAAATCAATCAGCAAATAAAATACATCTCATTGTTGTGTTTGTTTATTTCCTGGAGTAACAGCACCGCAACAATCACAAATCATGAAAGGACTGCTAGGAACACAAAAACCCACTAGTTGGCAAAATTCCGATTAATGCGCGGATACCGAAGGTCACTCCAAACAACCTTAATCCACTTTAAAAAACTTTGACTTTTTAGCATGCATTTAATATAAGGCATTTAAATGAAACATTCAGGTTTTTACTATTTAAGTGTTATATCGAGAATTTGAGGATTGTGCTTGAATTATGGGCTTTGCATGCTCGGAATCGCCGTGCTAATTACAGCACCCGTAGCCTTTCAGTGTACACGTTTTTAGCCTCGTCATGTCTTGTCCAAAAGAAAAGCGTTGCAAAATGTTCTTAATATGCCATGTGGAGACAAATATTATTAAACTGATAACGAGTCATAAGTTTACATGCCTTGTACTAACAAAATTGGATATCAACCTCTGGAGATCACATTATGTATCTGTAACAATGTAATTCTAGTCTTCATGCCAAAAGTCTCTACCAAAGGTCTGAGAATGATTATGTCCAAACATTACTCCCCTGAGATAATCAAACACCGTCTTTTTTGCTAGTTTGTCCAAATCCCGTTAGTTGATCGTTCCTGTTAATCATGGGTTTTCCGATCAGTTCTATTTTCTGAGCACCAAGTATCAACTACCCTAAAAATGCATATTTTATCAAGTTTAGCTCCTATTGTTAGCCTTATTATTTATGTTTTTGCTCGGCCTATCATGCCACAACAAATCTGTGATCCTGAAGTAGATATTACACTATTGAGGCTCATATTTGTTTCCATTGTAACTGGCAGAAAACAAATTAGACAAATGTCTTAATGGGTCAAAGGTTACTCTTTACAAGACTGTCTTTTTCTTAAAGTAGGGTTTTTTGACGTCAGATGCATGATTATTGATCATAGTGACAGCTTCACACTTTAATAATGTATTGTTTTGACGCGCTGAGGCTTAGGATATCCGTGGGTAACATTAATCCTACGAGGTACGAGCATTATTGTGCAATACTGCATTTTATGGCATCTTATCCCCTTAAACTGTGCCTGGAAACAAGTCCTAACAACAGCAAAGGAGACGTCTATCAACGTATCCTTTAACATCAATCTACTTCCAAAAGGCATGTGAGCCGATGTGCGATTAATGAAAGGTCCATCTAAAAAAAGCTCAAAGAAAGCTGATAGTAAATTCTTATTTACGACTCCTACCATGATTTAAAATGCTAGCGACGGCAATTTGGTTTAATGATATGCACATCGACTTTGCTAGACACTTGTAGTACCTAAGATGCAAGACGATTCCGCCAAGTTAGTTAAGGAAACGTTAGTGGACACGAAGATTGCGTTGCCTTGAGTTTTCTCTACCACCACTATAGTTTAAATATTAACTGTTCCACAATCTGACCTGGCTGTTGGAAGCAAAGCCGAATTCAAACGTCTACCAACTGCCAATAGCAGGACGTTTTCATCTATGTTTTAACGTTGCTTTACCAATCTACACGACTACACCCCGTTAGACGGACGCACTACCTCTCATTCTGCTCAAAGACTCTGATTATTCTTTTATTCAAATGGTTTCCAGACAAAAGCCGGAAACTTAGTCGGCGATTTTGTTTGTTGCGACTTCTCAACCATCATATCCATCTCCGGTCAAGTGACTTGATAGTTTACTAAAAGTAATGAGTAAACTAAAATCCACTGACTTGCGTTCACCGTTCGCAGTTTTCTGCATTTTGTAGACGTTTTCACTAGGTGCACTGTGGCACTCTTTCCGAGTCATCAAACAGAGAGAAATGGTGAAAAATTGTCTATGGAAAACAGACACATATTTTAGCGAGATATTTACCGAGCATTACAAGAATAATGTTTACTTTTCAAAAGTGTAGGAGATGCAATGCTGATATAAATTATTCCGACCGCTCTCACTATCGTCACACGACCAGACACGCAACCTCGATGCTGCCGACACGTCAGATGGCGCACCTGGCCTGGAACACCCTCGGTCACTCCCACCACCCATCCGAGCCCCATTCAGTAACCAACCCAAGGGGTCGTGTGCTCTCGACGACGACTTCAACACGAACTCGTCAAACACAAGAGCACACCTGGTCACCAGTCAAATTAACAGCTGAGTCAATCTGTCATTTTTTGGAGCTGCAGTTATGTAGGTCACGCATAGCACGCTTAGCTGTTTACGCTCACAAATACCAGCCAGACATTTAAACAAACGTCTTATTCCCTACCTGACTCACACATTCTCGAATGAAATTTTACACTACGATTCATCTCAGCAAACGTCCAACTACACAGATAATGCCGAATTTTTGAATGAACGCAAGTATCTGTGGCAATCCTGGTGTTAAGCAATGCGGAACAAAGAATACGGTCTAATTTTCAGCCCGCTTGGAAGTTGGTTGAGGAATTTCTTCTTTTTGTTCTAACTTGGACAACGTAGACTGTCGAGTTGTGTTGAAGTGATTTTCCTCCACCCTGAACACCATGGAATTGGCAACGAGAAGTTTTGGAAACCGAGAAAGCTGCTGTGACGCGTGCCTGTTCATGCGTATTTACGGTTTGTCTGCGTGAACACACATGGTGGCAGTGTTTACGTAACCCAGAAATCGACGCGCTGCCTTATGGCAGCACATGATAGGCCATTTCAACAGTTTGCTTTAAATGTTTAATTTAATTAAAAGCCTTTGCAGCATTATTTACACGTTCCTTTCACGTGTGCCTTCCCACCTGCGCAAGGACTTTAAAGCATTCAGGTTATTTATTACTATTTAAGTGTCGTTTACCCATTTTATTACAATCAAACAAACATTGCTGACACTGATAACCACAATATTGTCAACGGTGTTCTTCGTGCCCGCTTCGATTGAATTTGTCACTTCAAACAAGTTCAAATTCTTGCTTGGCTTTTTTGGCACAGCTGTTCCATTCAATTAAAACAAACTGTACCTCGTGTGACTATAAATCCTACATGCGACGGGCGTGACCAGAAATGCACCCTCCAAAATCTGTTTACCCGTGAAATAATTGGTTGACAATAAATTTATTTCAGTCCTCACACGTAGACAACGTTGTGTTTATTCTGAAGTAACTCGGTTGACCGACATACAGTAGTTGATTACTGTGGCAACTGAAGTAGCAAATCGGTCGGTGGTTGTGTAAATTTGCAAGACGTGGCAGAGAGATTGCGTGTTAGGGATTTGCTAATGTTTCATACACACTTCGCATTTCAGACCTTTGCCTCAGCCAAGTCACCTCAATTGCCACGTCTCATCTTTGTTTCACCTCTCTACGTCGCAGTTAAAGGTCGTCAAGGTTAAAGTCTGATTCGTTGCTCAAAATTTGGCTGAGGCAGTAAAAGCTTTCTCCACGCGGTCCAGCCTTGTCGTTGTTTGGGCGGGCGTTTTCTTAATCGTCTTTTGCCCAATGTCCGATTATTTGTGCTTGTTGCCTGGCAAACGCAACTGATTGTGTTATGCTTTACTTGGTATGTAATTTCAAATCCCCGAGAGCTGATAGTTGGAACCTCTTGTCTGGAACATCGAAGGCTTCTCAGAACGAGCTCTTATCTCAGCGCTAATTCTGTTGTCGTGGGAATTGTTGACGTCCGAAACAGGTTTTTATAAGAGCTACGCATGCACACAACAAGTAAAATCACTTTTTTTTCAATTTCATGGGCTGGTCACGAATCCCAACATTTTGACTGCAATAAAATATCCTTCAGACAACTAATCACTGTTGGCAACATGGACCTTTAACTGAAGGAAAGTGTCCAATTTTTGAAAATAAATTACGACTGGTCATGAAAAGTGAAGCCGGCTCAGTCATTCTACTTGCACCACAAAACGAAATTACTCATCGAGTTCGCGTCTGACTCAGATCAGATAGAGATCAAGTTAGTTAAAATGATTTGTGGCGATTGACGATGTCGGGCGCGTGGTGTCGGTGATTGGTTACTCTGGGTGGATGGCCAGAACCAATCCGATTTGTGCGCCTTCACGATTTCAATTACTTGTCCAACTGTGTAGGTTACTAAGGTATATCTACAAATTGGATGGCATTTGTATCGATGAACAAAGATAAATGTTTGAATTTGGCCCTGTCCAGTGTTATGGAAGGTGTTTGGTAGGGAATTGTGGTGAAGCAGCTCGCGTTTTGCTAGCACAGCCAGCCGACGTGCTGCCCTTACGTGATTGGTTCGCGGAGTTGCCTTGTTAACCATTAAGCGAACTGCTCTCAAGTCCAAGTGTGTGTGTGTGTATGTGTGTCTGAATCCATGATCTTACGTTCAACAAAAGCAAGAACAGATCCAGCTTTCGATTAGACGGTTGTGACAACCGCGTCGCATCGAGTGTCTTCATCACACCGTCTTCGTTTTTTGGGTTTGCTAGACGTTAACAAACACTTTGTCAAGATTCCACGGTGACAAAAACGGTATTCTCGATGAATAGCGATTCCGGAAGAACGTTTTTTGGGTTGGTTTTGGGGAAGAGCGACCCTAGGTCACATAATTTATCAAACCTCTTTATGCATTCGATAAATTACAATCGAACTTAGAACATTGTTGCACACAGTAATTAATATTATTGATCGATTTCGACTTCTGCATTTCTGAATACCTTCCAAGTCTCATCTTTTGAATTAAAGAAAGGCGTTAAGACGATTTCGACGTTGTGAAGCGT